ATTTCCTAGCTGTATGACCTTGAGCAAGTCACTTAATGCTGTTTGCCTCAGTTTCCTCATCTGCAAAATGAGCTAGAGAAGGAAAATGCAAACCACTCCAGTATCTTTGCCAAGGAAACCCTAATAGGATCAGGAAGAGTTGGACATGACTGAAAATAACTGAACAACAACAGGAGGTCCTGTACTTGGGGCTGGGAATATAAAACTATTCCTAACAGGAATCACAGACTACAGAGCTGGAAAGGATCTCAAACCTTATCTGATATTATTATCTCATTCAATAGATGAGAAAATTGTGGTCCAGAGCTATTAAGAGACCTTACTGCCCTCAAGGAGTTCAATTTTGTATGGAGGATGAGACATAGGCACTTTGGTATAATGAAAAGAGCCTGAAGTCAGAAGATATGGATGTGAATTCTGGTTCTGACAGTTAGTAGTAGTGTGACCTTGAGGACGTCATTTAACTTTTTAGCCTTGACTTCCTCATCCATAAAAAGGGAATAATGCTACTTCTACTACCTTCCTCTCTGTATGACCCTGAGCTAGTCAAGTAAGCACTTTGGGTGTCTCATTTTCCTGACATATAAAATGAGGGGATTGGACTGGATTATGTTAGGAAGGTGTCATTATGATCCAAGTGGGATTACAAACTTCTAGGAAGTATGTGAGAAGGGAGATTACTGAGCAATCAGGACTGGGTCTGAAGATGCCGATGCCTAACCTAATCCCCCAATCCCTTCTTTCTCTGCTGTTACTAGTGCCCACTGCCTCAATGAAAAGGAATCAAGAGGGACACAGCTTCCAGGAAAAAGGAGGTGACAGTCCCATTGTCCTCTACCCTCACCAGGTTTTATTCTGGAGTACCGTGTTCACATACGGGCACCGTGGTGTAAGAATGACAGATAAGCTGAAGAGTTTCTGCAGGAGGGCAAGCAGGATAGTGAAGGGCTGTGCATCCATTACATATGAGGACCAGCTGAAGGATCTGAGCACATTTAGCTCAGAGCAGGAAAGTCTCAGGGGGGACATGAGAACTGTCTTCAAACATCTGAAGGGCTGTCATGTGGAGAAGGAACTACATTTGTTTCGTCTGGCCACAGAGGGCAGGACCAGGAGCCATGCGGGGAAATAGGCAAAGAGGAAAAGTTAGGCTCTTTGTTAGGAACATTGCTTAATAATTAGAGCTATCTCAAAGTTGAAGGGCTGCCTGAAAAGGTGGTGGGTGGGATCCCCTTCTTTCAGGTCTTCAAAGAAAATCTGGCTGACCATTTGTTGGTTTTATTATAATGGGGATTCCTTTTTTGTAGATGGTCACTAAAGTCTCTTATAACTCTCACATTCTGTGATCCTGTAATGTAAAGCCCACTAGATACCAGGGAACATGAAAAGAAGGGAACAAGCATTTATATAATGCCTATTATGTACCATGCACTGTGCTAAACACCTTTTACAAATATTACCTAATTTGACTGGGAATTTGAATCACAGGTTGTCATAATTTTTTTAAGGCAACTGGGGTTAAGTGACTTGCCCAGGTTCACACAGTGAGTGTCAAGTGTTTGGTCTGAGGGTGGATTTGAACTCAGGTCCTCCTGACTTCAGGGCCAGTGCTGTATCCACTGTGCCACCTAGCTGCCCTTGTTGTTGTAATTTTAAGGAACTTTAGAGACTGATTTCAACATGCCTATTTTACAGATGGGTAAACTGAGGCCCAGAAAGGGAAAGAAACTTGCCTGAGGTTACATGGTGAAATTGAGAGCCAGGACATGTACATCACAGCAGACTGTCACTTCTAACCATTTGAGATGGGGTAGGACTCCACTCCCTCATATCACACTGGCTAAGACCAGCAGAATGAGATTGGTTGAGGGCAGCTAGGTGGTGCAGTGGATACAGCACCAGCCCTGGAGTCAGGAGGACCTGAGTTCAAATCCAGCCTCAGACACATAATACTTCCTAGCTGTGTGACTCTGGGCAAGTCACTTAACCCTAACTGCCTTACAAAAAGAAAGAAAGAAAGAAAGAAAGAAAGAAAGAAGAAAGAAAGAAAGAAAGAAAGAAAGAAAGAAAGAAAGAAAGAAAGAAAGAAAGAAAGAATGAGATTGGTTACTAATACAAACATGGTACCATAGTGGTCAGGGTGATGGGGCATAGGGTAGGTAGTATCAGCATCGTCTCATACTCAGGCATGTAAGTGAAATGGTAATAGGAGACAGCAATGGAATATGGAGAGATGAATGCATATTAGGTTAGCAGGGGGAATTTGTTTGCCTGCTGTAGTAAAGCGTAGCTTGTGAATGCTGGAGAACTATCTGTGGTGCTAGACCACAGAACTGGACGCTGTCCATGGTGTACAGTGGCATACACTACTGGGGCCTAGTTAGAATGGTGCTCCCAGGGAACTGTCCTTAAGGTAAGGGCCCCAGGAAGGAAGAATAGGCTTTAGAAATGGAAGAGATCTTCCCAAGCCTCTCAGTTTCATTGTTCATAGAGTTTGGAGCAGGAGGGGATCTTATAAATTGTCTAGTTCAACTCCCTCATTTTACAGATGAAGACATGAGGGCTAAAGAACTGAAATGACTTTCCCAAGGTCGCAAAGGATGGAAGCATGGAAATGAGGATTCATACCAAGCCCTCTGCCTCCAAATCCAGGGCTTCTGCCACTATACCAGACTCTCCAGGGACCCTAGGCCTAACCCCTTCATTCCCTTCCCCAATCCCACAAAGCACATAATCCAGTAAAGACCCAAGGCCCCTACACTTTGTTAGTGAATATTTTTCCATCTCCTGCCAGCAAAACTCCTATCAATCAGATCCAGACAGTTTCTCCTGGGTCCCACTCAGGTCATGGTCTCCAAAGGCCTTAAACCTCAGCATTAGGTCCTTCCAGCAGCCTGAGCTGGGAGCCTGGGGGAGCCATCGAGGTAGAGCTGGGTCTGGGCAGGCAGCCGCAAGGGCACAATGCCAGCAGCATTAACTGGAGGGCTTGGCACAAGATTCCATTCCTCCCTGGGCCTTGCCAGGCAGGCTGCCCATTGTTGGCAGACGGCACATGGTAGGGGGTGGCAGACACTTTGTGCTGATGGGCCTGGTGAGGTCATGGGGGCAGAGTAGGGAGGGAAGATCGTCTTCAGAAATAAAGAGAGAGGTGGGGGCTGTGAAGAAGAAAAGGGCAGGGGAATCCAGTGAAATCGAGACTGAGGAGAGAGGAATAGGCAATTTGCATCTCTAGGCTGGCAGGGGTGGAGGGAGGGAGGACACCTCTGGCCTGCAGGGATAATGTCGCCCCTCAGTACACAGGCCCTCATACAGTTAAATACAGTCATTTACAAGGTCAGTCCATAGTCCCTCTATAGTCCAGTAGTAACTCTGATGTGGCTTCCTCTTCGATAGGCCCAAATATCCCTCCTTCTGTTCAGTATCATCCATAAACTCCTCCTGACCTTGTTTGAAGCTGTTTCTGTTTTCTGCCTGGACCTCCTCTCAAGGTGACAAGCTCCATAAATTTAACCCTTGTGGGGTGACATAGAACTTCCTCTTGTTTGTTCTAAACCTGGATTTCAATTTACCTAGAAGGTGGGGAGGAGGCTTCTGTTATATTGTTAGAAGCAGTTAGGTAAGTGCTGGGGACAGACTGCTAGGGTGGGAGTCAGAAAGACCGAAGTTCAAATCCCACCTCAGACACTTGCCAGCCATGAGTCTGTGTGTCTTAGCATGGCCTCATGGTAAGATGGGGAATAATAATAGCACCTACCTTCTAGGGTTTTTGTGAAGATAAAAAGACACCAAAGCACTTTGTAAATGTTGAAGCACTACATAAATCTGAGCTATCAGGACTACTAAAACTGGGATTTAGAGAATTGGTTCTCATGCGTCTCCCTTTTTGGCCTCCACCTTTGTCTCTCCAGAATAAAAGGTCCATCTCACCAGGCAGCCCAATCTCTTCTCTATCCCAGTGGTCAAAACAATAATTACATGTATATAGGGCTCTCTGGTGACAAAGCATTTTCCCATTCAGTCGATCCTCACGTAAATCCTGCAGACTTCAGATTATTATCTCCACTTTACAGAAGAGGCAATTGAGGTCCAGAGAAGGGCACTGATTTGCCCAACATGGCACAGTAGTGGGCAAGGGCTGGTTTCAAGCCTAGGCCTCCTGATTCCCAAATCTAGCGCTATTTGCATTTTGCTAACCTGCCCCTTATTCTGGCTGCTGTCCTCTGGACCCTCTTCAGCTCTGCCCCTCTGGACTCTCTCCCCAAGGCCAGTGGCCAGAGTTGCACATGGGATTCCAGGTGAGGCTGTATCACATCTCTGGAACACGTTCTGGGTTGCTTCCAGTGCCCTCCCAGAGGATGCCCAGAATCCTGGGGTCATCCTCGAGGAACGATCTGCAGTAGCTCCCAGCTTTCTTGTTCCACACCTTCCACTTGCTCATACTGAAACTCACCTGCTACTTTTCTGCTGAATCTGTTCATTTGTTGTCTCTCCATTAGACTGTGAGCTCTTTGAGGGCAGAGAGTTTTTTGCTTTTTGCATCACCAGCACTTAGCACAGTGCCTGGAACACAGTAGGCACTTAATTAGTGCTCACTGACTGACTGCTCATATGTATACAAGCCCTTCCTGAAGTTTACTCCACCTCCCTGGCCTTTCACTTCCCAGAACAACTGTGTCGTCTAATTTCAGTCTGCTTCCTTTTCCAAATCATGAACAGAAATGTCAGCTCAGACCAGCCCCTAATCCTACACAGCCTCACTTTCTACCCTGCCCCATTCAGAGAACAGCATGTTGAGCCATGCCCGCTAGACTTTCTCTTCCCCCTTCGTTCAGTTCTCAGTTAACCATGATGACTCAATTTTTAAAAATACACATTCACATTCTGCCCAGGAAACACATGAAAGCACAGGCCTGTCCCGCCTCCCTTGCCCAGCACAAACCCAGACCACCCCACCCTGACACTCTCTCTCTCTCTCTCACACACACACATACACACACACACACACCCTCTCACATTCAACCTCTTTCTCTCTCTCACACCACATTTATTTTCTTTCCTTTATACACACCCTCACATACAACCTCTCTCCCCCGACATACTCTCTCTCACATGCAACTCCCTTCTCTCCTCTCTCTCTCTCTCTCTCTCTCTTTCTCTTTCTCTCTCTCTCTCTCTCCCTTACACACACCCCCTTTCACTCTCAAACACAACCTCTCTCCCTCACAGCAACAGACCATCCCTCCCAGACAGCTTCTCACACTCACACAAACCTCTCCCGGTCGTACAGTGTCACACACAGTCTATCTCACATGCAGAAACACAAGCCTTTCCCTCCCTCACAGTTTTTCTCCCGGACACACGTATACAGCTCTCACTCTCTCTCATACAGGGACCAAGTATGTCTCTCAGACACTCCTAGTGCCCTCTCTTTCTCTCACATGCAGTCACTGCCTCTCTATCTCGACACTGCCCCCCTTTTCTCTACCTCACAACAAAGCTTGCCCCCTCTCCTTGTCTCTTTCTGTCTCTGTCTCTCTCCCTATCTCTCTGCTTGTCTCTGTCTTTGTCTCTCCCTCCCCAGAGTCTTTCACACTGACACAGCCTTTACACACACACACACACACACTCACACACACAGCCTCCCTTCCTCCCTCTCATGCTCAGGCACATGTGTCTGCACAGCCTCATATTCATGACACCATACATGCGCACACATTCCTGACACTATTTATGTCCACAGGAGAACATTTTGCTCCTCCCTGGCAATGCCAAAGTACCTCAGTCTTTCCCCAGCACACTCCTTGCTTGCCCTGACAAGAGCAGCCTGGGAATTCACATGTGAAGCAGCAGTGCCAGGCAGGAGTGGGGTTCTGGAACTTCACAAAGCTTTGACTTGGAAGCAACTGTCATTCCAGATCAGAAGGGGTCCCTGACAACGGGCCAGAGGAGCTGCTTCAAAGCACTGAACCAGGCCCCGGGTGGCTTCTGCTCACGTGGCAGTCATTTACAGCTGACTTACCTTACCTCTCCCAAACTCATTCCTGGCCCTGCAGTCCGTGTGGCACGAGCCTGATTTGACCCTGTGACCTCTCACCTTGCGCTGAGCCTTCTGTTCCCCTCTCCTTCTGGCCACCCTGAGAGACCACATTGCTCATGGGAGACTTGGCATGAAGCACAGCAGGGAAGACCGATTAAGGTAAGAAAGGCAGACATAGGTATGGTCAAAGGATGTCAGAGCTGGAAAGGTCCTTAGAACACAGAATCTTATAGTAATTCATGTTTCTATTGTGCTTAGGTGTGAAAATATTATTTTTCCATTTCACAGATGAGGAAACTGAGGCTTACAGAACAGTAGAACGAGACAGATGCATTAGAAGATAGGACATCAGAGCTGGAAGGACCTTATCCACCATCCAGTCCTGACATTATAATTTTATTCAGAAAAGGAAACTGCTACCCATCAAGGTGAAATGACTTATTCAAGGTCATACAGCTAATAAGTGACAGAGTCAGAATTTGAATTCAGGTCTTCTGACTCCAAATCTTCCTATTACACTCTTCCTATTACACCCCATTGCCTTAAACTGAATTGCAACTGGGGACACTGTCTTAGCAGCCACCTGGCTTTACTTTGGGAGAGCAAAGGAGGCCCCCAGAGCAAGCCTCAGCCTCCCACTGTGCTTGAGCAGAGAGATAGATAAAGAGAACGAGACAGAGAGAGAAAGAGGAAGTGGGAGCACTTATGTGGCTGGATAAATATGTCTCTCAGCAAATAGGGCCCCATTTCCTTCTGCATCTGTCCTGCTGGTTGGGATTTCTGAAATCTGATCTCTCTTGCTCTCTTTTCCACTCTCTCCCCACATTTTTCTTCCCGTTAGGGTCCTCGGAGGGGAAGGCTTCAAGGAAACGATTTTTAAATGAATTGCCCCTCCTCGGCCCTGGGGAATATATTAGTGTTCTGAAGTGTCAGCCAAATGGGGAAAGGGATGCTGAGCAGACAGGGGGACTGATCGAGCAGGCTGGGCCCGTAATTCTAACCATATATCTCGGCCTAGACAGGGAGCCCACAAGGAATCATCAGCAGGGATGGAGGGAGGGTAGGCAGAAGGTAGTCAGGGTGGGAACTGAGGACAGATAAAGACACCCAGGGAAGACACATACCTCCCTAGCCCTAAACGACTCAATCTGGGGGAACTGTACAATCCTGGGGAGGGGTCTTCTAGGCTCCCAGAATTACTCCCAGTCTGGAGGTAGGGAAATATAGTCAGGAGAATCTGGCTGGAAGGTAAAGTAACCTGGTATAATGGGAAGAGCCCCTGACTTTTAGTTAGGGGTCACAAAGTCTTATTTTAACTTGCTATGTAACTTCAGGCAATTCACTTAATTTCATCCAGCCTATTTCCTCATCTAGGGCAGCTAGGTGGCGCCATAGTGCTCAGAGCACTGGGCCTGGAGTCATCCTCTTCCTGAGTTCAAATCTGCCCTCAGACACTTACTAGCTGTGTGAGCCTGGGCAAGTCATTTAACCCTGCTTGCCTCAGTTTCCTCACCTGTAAAATGAGTTAGAGAAGGAAATGGAAAACCACTTAAGTATCTTTGCCTTTTCCTCATCTATAAAGTGGGAGTAAGAACAATGAAAATTTCTGTTTCACAGTTGTTGCGAGCAAAGTGTTTTGTATTATAGAAGTATACTTTCCTTACAACAACATTGTGAGGTGGGTTGTGCAAATGTTGGTATCCTCATTTTACAGATGAGGAAATTGAGGTCCGGAAAATGGAATCACCCGTGCATGTGTTAGGGCCATAACTTGAACCCAGCTCTACCGATTGAGGCCTGTACTCTTTCCTCATCATGAGGTCTGTCTTCTAACTCAGTATGGGATCTTGGGTCAGTAGCTTCCCCTCTTTATGCCTCTGTTTGCCTTGCTGTAAGACTATGGCCTGGATTAAAGTCCCCTCCTGCTCTATTATTCAATGGCTGTGACTGCCAAGTCCATGGAGGGCCAGCTTCTTGCCTCTCCCACTTGCTTTGTAAAGTACCAAGCTCACTGATCACTCCTTCACTATGTGCCAGGATGAGTAGGAAGAAACAACAAAAACCATATAAGACATACTTCTTGTCCTTCAGAAACTCACAATGTTATTGGGGAGACTAGATACACACACACAAAATGGCAGCCAATAACACAACAGACAAATTATGTGGTAAAGACAAGGAGTCATAAGACTTGTGTGACATCAAGTAAGTCATTTCACTTTTCTGGGCCTCGATTGCCTCACCTGTACAATGGGGAGAGGGGTTGGCCTAAATGATGGCTAAGGACCTTGATAGCTCTAACATCTTATGTCTTAAAGTCAAAGAAAAGGAGAGATTTGTCAGGGAAGAATTAGGGAGGCAGTGTAGCAGAGTACAAAGAACACAGGATCTGGAATCAGAAAAATGGAATTCAAACCCCAGTTCTACCATTTACTACCTGTGAGACACAGGGTTAGTACACAACTTCTCCGGGGCACATCTATAAAACTGGTGATGATACGGAGGACAAAACAAAGGGGTTTGAATGGATGAACTTTATTTAGAACTTCCAGCTCTAAAGTGACCACCTTGAAATTGATCCTGCTGTAGGGAGAAGGATTTCTTGAAGATTGGGAGGATCCAGAGAGGGAGCTGGTTGGGAGCAGGGGGAAGGGAGGGCTACAATTCAAGAGAAGGCATGGAACTAGTAGTGGGCCTGATACGTCTATGAGACCATAAAGACCGTCCAACTAGAATGAAGGGTGTGGGGAGGGTTGGGGAAAGGAGATTAAGCAAGATGGAGAGTTTATGAATGCCAGACTCAAGAGTTTGGGACTCTATCCTATAGGAAATGGAAAGTCATTGATGGTTCCTGAGCAAGAGAAGGATTTAATGAGAGCTGTGCAACAGGAAGATGGGGCTGGACTAAGTGATTCTTCATGCATCTTCCAACTCTAGATCCTGTGGTGGGGGGGGGGGGCAAGATGGTTTGGAGGGGAGGAGACTAAAGGAAGGGAAGCCAGTCCAAGGAAGAGGCCATGAAGACCTGAACTAAGTTAGGGGTTATAGGGATGGAGAGAAGGCAGATTCATCAACTCTAGCAACCGATTGGCTTGGGGGGAGCAGTGAGAAACAGGGGGAGCTGGAGATAGCTTTGAGGTTTGCTACTGAGTGACCGGAAGGAGGGTGGTGCTATGAACAGATACAGGGAAGTTGGAAGGAAGGGGCAGGGAAGTGATGATGAAGTCAGTTTGCTATCTGTTGAGTAAAAAATTTGAACACGGGGGTGGATGGTAGACACAGATATTGGGAGATGAATATTGGGGGTGAGTGGCTGGGGCTAGATAACGGGGGTCAGACAGAGGACTGGATGACAAGGATGGACAGATGGGGATAGAAGGCGAGGATGGAGAAAAAGTAGACAAAGTGGATGGACGATGAGGAAGGGCAGAAGGACCTAAATGGTGGGGATGGAAAGAAGGGACAGAGGGAACTGGATGGTAAAGATGGATATAAGGGATGGTTAGAGGAGAGAAGACTGGAACCTGGCCCTGTCCACAGAGGACACCTTCAGACAGGGATGGACAGAGGTGGTGGGGATGGACAGAGGTGAGCTGTGGGAGGACCAGGGTTGTTTTGGTACTAGTTGAATGAAGTCACCAGCTGCAGTCCCATAAATTGCTGCCCGACTGGGCTGGCAGTCCATTAACATGAAAGATTTTATCGCACTTTACAACCTCCCTGTCTTGTACAGTGACAGCAGGTAATTAAAACAATAATTGTTTTCTGATGTCGTTTTGCTTAATGATAAAAACTTTCAGTTATTTTCCTTTCACTAGGTGGAGAATGGGGCCTCGGGTAGGTCGGTGTCCCAGGGGGCCTCTATAAGAAGGCCAGAAGGACCTGCCCATCCACGGCTACACGAGGGAAGAGATCCCAGAAAGATCCTAGGATGCAGAGCTGAAAGAGAACTGAGACACCATTAAGTCCAAAAGTATAATTTTCGAGAGGAACAAAATGAGGTCCAGATAAGGGTAGAGACAGCCAATCAAGGTCACACAAGTAACAAAGCCAGGACTTGAACTCAGGACTTCAAATCCTAACTCCAAATCCTGACTCCTTGCTCTGACTTCCCTCCCCTCTCATTAAACAAGGGGACATCCACATACATAAATATGTGCGGGCATGAGCAAACCACATGGACAAGATGTAAGGGAGACCATCCCTGTGTTTCCCAGGACTGAACCCATCCCTTGGCACCACACACTCCCTTTGCTGAACTCGGCATGAAGCCCCGGGGATCTACCCATCTAGAGGACAAGGGCTCAGTTTCCGCAAAGGATCCACGGAGCGTGGAGGGATTCTGGGCTGCTGAGTGGAAGGTAAGCTCCTCTGAGGGGAGGGACTGTTTCCCATTTTAACTTGTATTGCCAGCTCTGAGCACAAAGTGAGAGCTTAAAAACAAAAGACTGAATGAATGAATGCGTGAGTGCTCATCATCTTCTCCTATATACCTATGTAAGTAAGTTCAAGGCCACTACTGGGCACCCTGAGCGGAAAGCCAAGGGGTCACAACCAAGGAGAGGGGTTTGCATGCCATGCAACGGAAGCAGGGGGGGAAGGGTGTCCAATGCCTCAGGGTTTGTGGGGGGGCATTTCATTTCAGTTTTCAAACTTACCTGCTATGTGACCCTGGGCAAGTCAATTAACCTCTTCAAGCCTCAGTTTCCTCATCAGTAAAATGGGAATATTAACCTTTGCTAGTCCTTAGCTAACAGGGCTGTTATAATGGAAGCACAGTATCTTCTTAGAGCCTTGGCTCTCACTTTCATAACAAGAGAAGATAATATTTGCACTCTTTACTTACATAGTTGCTGTGATGGTATGGCTTTTTTGAGTGTTTTCTTATTCTTAGCCTATGCTTTCCTCCTAACTGCTTCCGTGATCCTGGGGTGAAGTCTGAGTGGCATTCGAGTACAGAGGCCTCCCTCTCAACTTTTGCAGGTCCCCCCCAGTCTCCGTTGTAAATTACCATCCTGCTCCCAACACTTTAAAACAAATACTTCTTAATCACTAAAAATTGAAATGATTTCATGTGAAAATGTTAATGCATTCAGAATCACAACCGCCCCGGCTGCGTCTGACAAATTAGCGCCCAGCCCAGTGCATTGTTTGTAGCTACATTTATCCTGGTGACGAGACAAGAAAACCAGCCAGGATCAGCCACAGGCAGGCACAGGGGGGAGGGCAAGGGCCCAGGCTCCAAGGAGGAGGGTGGGGGAAGAGGGAAAGGGTGGCAAGGTCAGAGATGGGGAGAAGGGAGGAGAGGGGCCTAAGGAAAAGGAGATGAAGGGATCCTGTGGAGGGGAGAGAGATCAAAGTCCCTCTGCCTCATGCCCAGGTTTCACCCTCTCCTACCTCCTCACAGGGCGTCAACAGAGCTGGGTCTGAGTCACTGAGACTCTGGGCAAGTAATTTCTCTCTGAGCTTTATTTCCCTCACTGGTAAAAGAAGGGAAATCAGGGAAGAGCAAAGAGGAGGAAAAAAGAAAGTGCATCAAAGGTTCTCAAACTTATTTGCTGTGTGACCCTAGGTCACTGACCTAGGGCACATCTCTTGACTCTATCTGGGACGCAGTCTTCCATCTATAAAACAGCAGAGTTAGGTGCCAGACCTGACATTTCACTACAGGGAACTCTCAGATAAGGCAACTTCTACAATGCAGGTCAGCACCTCCCCTGCAATTTCTATTATCTTAGAGAGTAACTTAGAGCACAGAGAGGTTGGGTAATTTGTCCAGAGTCACACAGCCAATACAAGTCAGGTGGGACTTGAACCCAGGTCCTCTTGACTCCTGACAAGGTCAGCTCTCTATTCACTGTGCCATTCTGCCCCTCAATCTTAATAACTATCTTCAGAGTGTTTTAGATTTTTTAAGTGCTTTACAAATGTTATTTCACATGCAGTAAGGCAGGGATTCTTAATCTTTTAGTGTCATGGACCCTTTCAGCAGTCTGGTGAAGCCTGTGGACCCTTTCTCAGAATCATGTTTTTAAATGCATGAAATAACATCCATGGAATTATGAAGGAAACCAATTATACTGAAATAAAGGTGAAATTTTTTCCTCTCCAAGTTCATGAGCCTCCTGAAATCTGTCCACGGACTCCCTGAACTCCTGCCCTAGGCAATCTGAGAGCCTTTCTAACTTGAAAATTTTTAATTATGGCCGCCTCACAGATGGTGACTCCACAATGAGCCCCTGTTCCTCGGCCCCAGGCTCACCCTCGATAAGAAGGGGCAGTGTGGAAGGGCAGAAAGGCACTAGGTCTGAAGCTGGGAGGCATGGATTAGAATCCCAAATCTGGGCCTGTTTCTTCATTTGCAAAATGAAGGGGTCGGCCTGCTCTCTAAAGCCCCCTCTAGCTCTAACCTTTTGTGATCTCATGGCATGGACTGTGAGCGCAGTAAAATGAAAGCTCCTCGAAGGCAGGGGCTACTCTTTCGCTTCTGCCTTTGTACTTAGCATTTTCTTGCCTAGTCAGCTAGTCGTGTTCGACTCTTTGTGACCCATTTAGGGCTGCAGTGGTGTGCCATTCCCTCTCCAGCTCATTTTACAGATGAGGAAACTGAGGCACTCAGGGTGAAGTGACTTGCCCGGGATCACACAGCTAGTAAGAGTCTGAGGCTGCATTTGAAATCAGGTCCTCCTGAACCCAGGGTTGGCGCTTTATCCACTGCACCACCTAGCTGTCCCTTGTACCTAGCATAGCAGTCATTTAATAAATAGCAATCACTTAATAAATGTTCATTGGAGTGAAAGGGACTTCAATATTCGTGATGATTGCAAGCTAGGGGCCCCAGCCTCATGCGACCTCACTCTCCATGACTCCACAGCCTTCCATGTCCAGAGCTTATCCCACAGGCACAGCCCCAAGGAGCTGATTCTGAGGCATCCAGGTAGCTAGAGTCAGGAAGCACCAAGTTCCAATCCAGCTTCATACGTTTACCAGCTGGGGCTGTGGGACAAGTCACTTAGCCTCTGCCAGTCTCAGTTTCCTTAACTGTAAAATGAAGAGAAAAATAACAGCTGCCACACAGGGTTGTTGGGAAGAGATAACATCTGTAAAGTGCTTTGCAAACCTTAGAACACTTTATAAATGCTAGCTATTAGCTATTATTAGCTACATGCACAGCCTCCCTTCTGTTCCCATCAGACCTGATTTCCACTGACTGAGAAGCCTTACTCGCTGGGCCTGTCAGTCCTACTGGACTTTTCCTAGGCCTGACTCCTTGCAAAAACTGGTCTCCATCATCAATTAGAGCAAATGCTGCCCTCCCTGACTCCCGGAGCTCATTCTTCCTACATCTCACAGGCCCTCCTAGTCCATTCCTCAGCCCTAAGCACCCTCTACCCTGGACCATGCCTTCTTTGCTCTCATACCTAATACAAAACAGGTTCCACTCAACTTCAGCCTAGCTCAGTATGGGAAATGGAGAGGGGGCAATGGATGAAGAGGATGGATGGAACGGACGGGTAGATGGTGATATGTGGTGGGGATAGTTACGACAGAAAGGATAGATGGTGGGGACAAACACAGGGGATGGACAGAGAGAAAGAGAGATGGTAGAAAGGATGTTGCTCTCCCTCCCAAACTACCTTTTGTTTATTATGGATAGACTTCTATATCTTCCACAGAATATAAGCATCTTGGGGGCAGAGATGGTTTTGTTGGGGCTAGTATAGGCACTTAATAAATGTTTGTTGACTGAATGCGGATTGATAGCAGAAGGACTAGATGATAGGGATGGAGAGAGGAAGAAGAATGGCAAGGTGAAGAGAAGAGAAGTAATTCTGTTTCCTCTCTGCCACATTCTGGACGTTCTCTTTCCAGAGAAAGCCAATTCCATGGCTCATGCCTCTTAGCAGACAAGTTCGCGTCTCTCCCTTTCAGACTCTTCAATTTTTCCTTTGCCCTGGCTCCTTCCTCTCCACCTCTTCCTTTCCTGGCTTCTCTAAGGAACAAGCCTGAAAAGAGAGATAACACAAAAATGACTAGATACAAGATATACACAGCGTAGGTAGAAGGCAAATCTCAGATTAAGACACTATTAGCTTAGGGGGCTGGAAAGGCCTCCTGAAGAAGGCAGGATTTAAGATGAGTCTTGAAGGAAGTCAAATGTTCTAAGAATTGGGGGTGAAGAGGAAAAACATTCTAGGCAAGTAATTTGGTGTTGTTCAGTCCTGTCTGACTTTCTGTGACCTCGTTTGGGGTTTTCTTGGCAAAGACATTGGAGTGGTCTGCCATTTCTTTTTCAGCTCATTTTACAGATGAGGCAAGCAGGGTTAAGTGACTTGCCCAGGGTCACACAACAACAAGGGGAAGCATTCTAGGCATAGAAGACTGAAATGCAAAGGCATGATTGGATCTTAGAGTCTGACGGGGGAGTAAGTAAAGTAGATTGGAAAGGGAAGAAGCAGCCAGAGGGTGAAGAGCTTTAAATGGCAATTGGAAGACTTCATATTTCATCCTACAGGTAGTAGGAAGTCACTGGAGGTAAGTATGGAGGAAAAGCTAGTTCACATGGGAAGAAAATGAGTTCTCTTTTGCACGTACTGAGCTTGAGATGTCTATGGGATGTCCACTCAGTCCACAAATATTTACTGTTTGCAGATCATCATGTACTGGGCTCTGGGTGAGCTACAAATGTGGTAGGTAAGACATGATTCCTGCTCACATGTAGCTCACAATCTAAGATGCCGACATCGCTACCTGTAATACACATTATGTAAGCGCATTATAGAGGTGCATATGTGATATCTGAAGCAGAAGCTATTGCTGACCCTGGAGAACAGGGAATTCTTCCTGAATGAGGCGGAGCTTTTAAAGAACGGGTAGGAATCAAGCAAATGAAGAGGGACAGGTATAGGGAGTGTGTGCAAAGGCACAGAGATTAGACAGTACTGTAGTACTTAAGGCTCAATAGGTAAGGTAGTGCCAGATAATGGAGGGCCTTGAATGTTAGGCAAAGGAACATAAACTTCACTATGTAGGCAACAGAGAACCATTGAGGATTTAAGAGCAGAGCAACGACATGATTCAATCATTCAATCAATAAGCATTTATTAAGCACCTACTGTGTCTTTGTATTCCCAGTTCCAGTATCTGGAACACACATACTTAATAAGTGTTTTTATTTTATTTTTCTCAATTGCATGCAAAATTTTCTCAACATTTATTTTTTGAAATTCTTGAGTTCCATATTCTCTCCCTTCCTCCCCCTCCCCAAGAAGGCAAGCAATTTGATATAGATTATACATGTGAAGTCATGCAAAACATATTTCCATATAAGCCATGCTGCAAAAGAAAACACACATAAAAATCTAAGAAAAATAAAGAAAGTTAAAAAGTATGCTTTGATCTGCATTCAGACTCTATCAGTTCTTTCTCTGGAGGCAGACAGCATTTTTCATCATAAATCCTTAGGAATTGTCTTGAATCATTGTATTGCTGAGAACAGCTAAGTATTCACAATTGATTATCATACAACATCGCTACTGCAGTATACACTGTTCTCCTGGTTCTGCTCACTTCACTTTGTATCAGTTCATGTAAGTCTTCCCAGGTTTTTCCTGAAAGCATCCTGCCTGTCATTTCTTACAGCACAATAGTATTCTATCATAATCACATACCAAAATTTGTTCAGCCATTCCCCAATGGATAAGCATCCCCTCAATTTCCAATTCTTTGCTACCACAAAAAGAACTCCTGTAAATATTTTTGTTCATATGGGTCTTTTCCTTTGATCTCTTTGGGATACAGACCTAGTTTTAGGCTTAATAAATTTTTATTGACTATTAGACACTATGCTGGCTGGGAATACAAAGATAAAAATGATTAGTTCCTGTCCTCAAGGAACTTATATTCCATACAACACAAGTATGCATATGTGTGTGTATATGTATATGTATATATACATATACATATATACACATACATATATATGTATATGTATATATACATATATATGTATGTGTGTGTATATATATATAAACATATAAAAAATAAAAATAAATTAATGGTGGGGACCGGGGGTGTGTGTGATGGAACAATAGAAGCTTTGAGTGGAGCTCTGAAGGAAATCAGAGATTCCAAGAAGCAGACGTGAGGAGAGAAAGCATTCTAGCCACAGGGATAGCAGCTGGTGCAAAGGAATGGAGAGAGGAAGGAATGTCATGTGTGAGGAACGATAAGGCCAGTTGGGTTGAACCATGGAGTGCATAAAAGGTAACTTGGACCAGATTGTTATGAGTTTTAAATTCCAAAGAAGTTTGTATTTGGTCCTGGAGGTTATAGAGAGTCAGTGGAGTTCATTAAGTACTGATAAAGGGAAACTACTCAGGCCTACATCGAGTGATACCTAACCTCAGCGTCTGGCACACAGTAGGTCCTATTTCTCCCAGCCCTGCAGGTAGCTTCCTGATGAAAATGGTGGCATTTGCTCCAACTTGAGAATTTGTCTGCCTGGGTGTGGGGGATTATGTGCTGGTTCTACAATCCCTGGCTCCACGCCAACTGATCAGGAACCTCCTGGTGGCACAGCAGGTTTGTTATTCTTATTCCAAACACTGAAATCACTGAACATCTCTCTGCCCCATCAAGGACCAGCCAGGAAAACACAAGTGGGTTTCCATCACCTTAAAAATCAGAATAATTTGGCCTGACACACAGATCATCTCCAGAGTTTATAACAGCCCCTTTCCTCACGCTGGCCTCCTGCCATCCTCAGCATCCTGCTCTAGAGTTAACCAAGATTTTTGCCTCCAAGCAACCTCCCATTCCACTCCCAAAGACTGACTCCAGTTTCATTCAGGATAGATGGGGGGAAAGGGGGTAATGGAGGTAGCCAAACTATTTTAGAAGACTGTTAGAATAGTCTAGGAGACAGGTGGTAAGGAGCGGAGAGTGATAAGCTTGGGGATGGATGAGTGGGATAGGAATCACTAATGAGTAGGACTCAACTAATTTAGGGTTGGTTAGATCTAGGCTTAGGTCTGGAGGTGGCTATCTTTTGTCAGTCTGGTAAAGCCTATGGACCCCTTCTCAGAATGCTACTTTTAAATAATTGGAAGAAATGCTAAATTTCAGTTAGAGGTTAATGAACATAAGGACATAATTCTTTCCTTTTTTTTCCTAGCCAAGTTCATGGACTCCTTGAAATCTACCCACAGATCCCAGCTTCAGAAACCTTAAAACTTCGGAGGGAGGTCTGAGCAGGAATGATATTCTTACAAAGAGGTGAGAGCTGAAGCTTTGGGGGTGGATGTGGTTTGATAAGTGAGTATAGGAAAGAGGAGAAGACTAAGCCTCTGAGGTCAACTCTGTTTAGTAGACAGAAGGAGAAAGAGAAACCAGTGAAGTAGAGAGACAGGAGACCAACCTGAGTTTGGTCTCTGAATCCAAGGAGGGAGACAGCACCTGAACAAGGTACTGCGTGCAGTTAGCAGTGGCAAACCCCACAGAGAGGTCCCTTGATCACTGCTTTGAATAGCCTTATTAGAGCAGGGGTTTTTAATCTGGTTCTGAACTCATTTTTTAAAAAAAATATTTTGATACCCAAGTTTCAAGATAATTTGTTTCCTTTTTAATCCTGTGTATTTTATATTTTTTATTGAAAAATATTATTCTGAGAAGGGGTCCATTGATTTCACCAGACTTCCAAAGAGGTCCATGGCACACAAAAGCTTAAGAAAGAAACTGTCCTAGTGTGTTATGTTGGAATTTGTCAATCCTATCTAATAAGCATTTATTAAGTGTTTGCTATGTGCAAGGCACTGTGATAGGCCCTGCAGAGACAAAGAAAAAATGAAAAACATTTCCTCTCCCTTTGTATGAAGACCTTAGAAATGCTACATTTTGTTCTGCAACGTAGGGGAGCAAAGTGCAGAAGGAGAAAATGGACTGGGGGCTGGAATTGGCCAAAAATACATGTCAGCAGAAGACAGACAGTGAATTGGAGATTAGATCAGGTTTAGAAAGGAAGGAAACATGAAAGCCCTAGGGGCTAAATGCAAATGCTCCCTGGATCAGCTTCAAGCAGCAGCATCCCTAGGAACCTGTCCCTGGTCCCCTGGGCTCTTCCATCCTCCCTACTCTTGACCTACTACTACCAGAGAGGCTGTGGCTGGAACAATGAATGGGACCAGCTGACTTCACCCCTCATCTGACCGCCCTATCTCCTTCAACCCCCACCTCCTCTAGTCATCTACCTTCCAACAGAAAACATGGAGCAATAGCTCAGTACTTCTCAAAAGTTCTGTCTTGTAAGTAATCATCATTGACCCAAGAAGCTGTCTCTTTTTCAGGTAAAGGAGCTGACAGTGCTTAAATGAATTCCTGGGTGATATGGTCTCCAGTTTGGGTGGCCCTCCCCTAGAACCATCAATGCAATATATCCATCCACCTCCTCCTCTGCTTCCCATATCCGAGGCTTTCTAACCCACAGCCAAGGGCCCTCCTGACAATGCCAAGGCTGACTCTCCTTCTGCCGTGTTCCTCTGACCTAGAGTCACCGTGCCATAATGGATGGAGTACTGGACTTGGGAGTCAGGAAGACCTGGGTTCAAATCCCTCTTTAGATACTAAATGTGTGATCCTGAGCAAGTTACTGAACTCTCGGCCTCAATTCCTCAGCTATAAAATGATGTGGTTGGCTTAGATGGCCGTGAAGGTCCCTTCTAGCTCTAAATCTGTAACTCCAATATGTTAGGATGGCTCTAAAGAAAGGGACCAATGATGCCAAGAACTACCCTATATAGCAGGAGGGGCCTTGACACTCCACACAAGCCCCTAGCTGAGCCCTTTCTTCTGCTTCCTCAGTGAACTGATCACACAGAAGCACTGGGACCTCACACCCAAACAACCTAGTATGGGAAAGAGATTTCAGTTGCATCTTTTAGGAGGGAGGAGCTGGAGGGTGGCAGAGGATAGAACTCAGTGACCGAATCAGAATCAAATAAACAAGTGCCTATTATAATAACAGCTCCAAATTGCATGCAGAGGGTGTGTGTGGGGGTGGTAGGTTTCAAAGTTTTTCCGCCCATTCTCTCAGCCCGCACCCAGAACAACCCTGGAAGGAAGGCTGGCCAGGCATAATTATCCCCAGTCTACTGTAAGCCCTAGGACTCTGGATGCCTAATCCAGTGCTTATCCCATTGTGTGCTGGGCCCTGGGTTCCAAGCTGTAGGGGACACAGAGTAGAATGAAACTGGGTTTCTCCTGCCCTTGAGGTGCTCATCATCTAGTTGGGGAGACACGAAATACAGCAATGAAAATCTTGGATGGCAGGTCCAGGCAACAAGAGAAGAGAAAGCTAACCTCCTATCCCCTGGTTCCTTTGTTTACCTACCTCCTGAAGCCCAGAGCTGAGGTTTCTGGTGGTCTTTTATGCAAAAATGCTCCTTTATGGGGATTTAGGATCCTAGCTATAGAGTCAGAGGGGCTTTCAGCCATCTACTCATTAGACTTCAAGTTCCCTGAGGGCAGGAACTTTTTTTTTTTTTGCCTTTATATCCCCAGTGCTTAGCATGATGCCTGGCACATGGCAGGCACTCAATAAAGGCTTACTGACTGACTGATCTAGTCTAACCCTCTCATTTTAAGGATAAGGAAAATGAGGACTTGGTTAAATCACAAAGTCTTAGTGGAATAACTGCCAAAGGTGGAAGGATCCTCACCTGAGTTCTTTGCCTGGGGGGGGTGGGGGCATGAATAATATAAGAGAGTCTTCCCATTCTGGGAAGAGGAAAGCCAAAAGAAGGGAGAGTGGGGAGGGAACTGGATGGCTGTCCAATAACTTAGCAGACTTTTGACAGAGAAGAGCTATCTCGTTAACAGTGATATGTGTTCTGGGGTACCCACCCTTATTTGGGAGCCCAGGCCTAGAGGGAGGTTCCTGGGCCTGGAGCCCCCTTATCTCACAGTATTTTACCCTACCCTCAGCGGGTATTAATATCCTTTTCCAGGGTCTAGGGAAGAGGGAAGGGAGGGGAGCCAGGAGGAGTTCCTCCCTAGGGACTCCTCTCAAGCTAAGGGGGAAAAAGTCAGGGAGAAGTTGAAGCTGTTAATTGCTAATCCCTGTGGACTCTGGGCTGGGGCCTTGGCAAACCTACTCACGTGCTTACTGATTAAAAGCAGATGGTTTAGATCTGCCAAGTGTCCCTAGGGTTTTCCACCTGCCTCCCTTGTCCCTAAACCAAGAAGTCCCACCCCAGCCCTTCTGGGCTACCTTCTGGCTCAGAGATTCTCCCAGTCCTGATGGTGGTAGGAGCAGAGATGGGAGGCCTGTGCTAGGGCTTGAACCCCAAGGAAACAGGAATAGGAGGAGAGATGGTAAGTAGCCTCTGCCTATCCTCCTATAAAGAATGCCTGGGGGGCCCTCATCAGGTCCCTGAGGATCAGGATGCAGTTGGGATCTCTAGGGGCTGAAAAGAGAACCTGGATGCCCCCCTACTTAGGAATAGTTAGATTCATGTAGAAAAGAACAGCAGGCACACAGACCCTCTGGCAACAGAAGTGAGGGATTTCTATTGTGCTGGAAGGGGCAACAGGTCTGGGTGATCTGTGAGAGTCAGCTTCTGAGGCCCCTAAGGCTGGGCTTCATGTAGGAAGGCACCAGGGGGGTGGTGAGCCCGAGCCCCTCCCTCTCCCTGAGACAAGGGAAATCAGGAAAAGGGACAAGGGCCCTAGACACCCTCCTCTCAGTCCCATCCTGTCTGTCTCTCCCCACCCCAGAGCTGAAAAGTATCTCCAAGGAGAAGACCGACTCCCCTTCCCCTCAATATCAGCTGGGAGCTTCAAGGTGACCCTGAGAACGGGCCTTCCAGATGCTGGGTTGGGTAGAAGAAGCAAAAGCTTCAAGCTGCAGAAGAGGCTGTACCATAGGAGAGGGCCACCTTCCTACCTGCTCTATGCTGCTAGTGACCCCCTGCCTGCAGTCCTTTCCATCACCCAGAGTGAACCCAGGCCCTTACCTGATCTGGACCCCAGACCTGGATTTAGGGTGGGGCCCCACAAGATTTCCAAGAGCAAGGAGCCGTACTGGGCAAGGGGGACAGAGGCTGGGAGAGGCTTCTCTTTCTTTGTCCACCTGGCTCCTGGGTGCTGAGACAGAGAGGAATGGGATGGGGCGGACCTCTCTGCCCCACACAAACACAGAACATCTTACCTACAGGGAAAGACAAAGGCAGCCAGGGCTCCTGCTTTCCCTCCTGAATCCTGTTCTCTTCTAATCCCATGGGAGGAAATCCAAACAAAGACACCCAACACCTCTTTTCTTTCTCTTTCTCAAACACACACACACACACACACACACACACACACACACACACACACATACACACACACGTGCGTGCATGCATGCCCCCTAAATGTAAAAACAGAACTAGATTTGGAGATGGTGCTGTGTTTGAATTTTGGCTTTTATATTTAGTCTCAGTTTCCTCCTCTGATAAATAAAGCATTTGTCCCAGATGAGCACTAAATCTCTCCCACACTCATTTACCAGTATCCCTTTCCCAATCATTCTCCCTTGGGTAGGGGTGGAAGCTGGGGGGTGGGGAGGGCTCTGTGTGACCCTAAACAGCCTTATATCAGAGCCAGAATAGTTTAGAAACAAAAGCATGTCTTCCTTTCTGTATACATGGGCCAGGTCTCACACGTGCCTGGCTAATCCTCAGGGAGGGCCTACTTTTTTTTTTTCCTGGGTTTGTAGAAGGATGAAACAAAAACATTCTGATCTGGGTGCAGGCATTCCTGGCCCTCTCCCTCAGCTCTCAGTGACACCTGGAGCCACCATGATCCCTGCTCCCACCCCAGCAACCACCTTCACCCAGCAGGTGCAGAGTCCTGCTGTGGGTGGAGCAGGTGGCAGGCAGATGTGAGCAGGACCTTTGGGAACACCTGCCACCCGGAGTAAAGGTGGTCTGGAAAGGTCTTCAGTGTCTCAGGTCTCCGCCCACCCACCTGGAGGTATGTTCAAGTAAGCAGCAAATCCTCACTATTCCTGTTCCTGCAGTCACACCCCACCCCACAGAGCTTATTATCTGTCCCCATAAACCTACCCTTCCTCCTGACTTCCCTGTTTCTGTCACAGCACTGTTTTCCAGCTTACCCAGGTCTGAAAATCAGGAGTCAGCCTCAACTCTTCATCCCTACTCCCCGTATCCAATTTGTTGACAAGTCTTATGGATTCAACCCCTCACAACCCCTCCTGAAACTGTCTCTCTCTCTATATATATATACACACCACAACCACCCTCAGGACTTCATCCCTTCTCACCTGCGCTGTCATTACAGAAGGCACCTCACTGGGACCCCTGCATCTTGTCTCTTCCCTCTCCAACCAAATCCTCACCCAGTTGCCAAATAGTTATTTCTGAAACTCAGGTCTGATTGTGTTATTCCCTTGTTCAAGAAACCTCCTTATTGTTCCTTATTGTCTTCAAGGACAAAAATACAAACTCCCCTGTCTAGAGGCACCAAAAGCCTTTCACAATCTAGTAAAATCGAAACCCCTCTCTCTCCTATTCACAATCTTTCTGTCACCTCTCTTTCCAGACTCCCATGTACTCTACAATTCAGCCAAAGGAGCCCTCTTACAGCTTCCTATCCATATTCCATCTCCTATCTCTGACCCTTTTTTTTTTTTTGAGTATCAGTTGCCTGTCCCCTAGGCCTGGAATGCCCTCCCTCCTCATTTCTGCCTCTTGGAACCCCTCAAAGCCCAACTCAAGTGACACCTTCAAGGGGCCTTTCCGGATTCCCTGAAGTAATTAATGTTACCCCTTCACTAATTATTTTGGCGCAATAAATACAAGTGTTTTGTATTTATTTTTAGAGACCTATCTATGTACAAGTAGTTTATCCCCAGTAGAATATAAAATCCTTGAGAGTAGAGACTTTAATTTTTGTCTTTATATTCCCAGAGTGTAGCAAAGTGCTTGGCACACAGAAAGCACTTAATAAATTATTTTTTAAAGTGAATTGAGTTAGATTGAGGCAAGGTGATTTCCAACCCCTCAGATAAGGTCAGGATTTGTTCTAGCTTAGGACAGTAAGATGACTGACCCCCAGGGGCTGTGTCAACTCAATTCTATTCAACATTCATTAAGCCCTTACTGAATGCAGTGCTCCTGGTTAGTACACAAAAACACACAGGAGCCTGGATCGTAACAAGATGTAGAAACATGCACAGATCATCGTGAAATGAGGCAGAAGCAGATGAAGTCTGATGGAGAAGGCTTTGTGGGGGAGCCAGCTGGCACCAGGATCTGTCCTGGAAAGAGGAGAAGGCTTTTAATAGATGGGGCATCCAGGCCTATGGGATGGTCATAGAAGAGAGCAAAGATGCAGAATGTTGTACTAGACAGAACATTGGATGTAGAGTCAGGAAAGCTGGGCTTGAAACCCAGCTCCGATATTCCCTAGCTGTGTGATACTTTCTAGGCCTCAGTTTCCTCATCTGTAAAATGGGAAAATTGGACAAGGTGACCTCTGAGACCCATCCAACTCTAAATCAGAAGAAAGCAAGCAGTCCAAGTGAGATAAGAAAGATGGTGGGGGACCCTCTGCCCAGGGCCGCGGGGCAGGGACAACTTGAGACCTTTGCTTCAGTTAGGTTGGTCCAGAAATAGGGGGAGCCAGGCATGAAGAGATTCATGACTCTCTTCTCTGCCTTGCTGGGGGTTTGTTCTTGGTTTTCTTTACTGTAAATTTAAAAAATTTTATTTTTATCTAAACTTCACAAACACCCCATTTCCATATACGTTGTAGAACAGAAGGAGGGGGATGTACAAGAAGCTGCAAATCTCCATTATGTACAGCTTGCTTTTATTTTTAACTATATAATACATTTAACATGCAACTCTCAAAGCTGTCCTGCTTATCTGTGATTCCTTCTCACTTTCCAATTGCCTTCTTTTTGGGAGGGGGGGAAGGTAAGAGGAGAGACCTTATCCCTACCCCTTCCTCTCTTTCCCAAATTAGAAGAAAAACAAAGTAACAAATATGCACAGTCAAGACAAACATTCCCCCATCTTCCATTCCCAAAAATGTATGTCTTATTCTGCATCTGGAATCCACCACCTCTCTGTCAGGAGGCGAGAACCTGTTGGAGGTTTGTAACCCCCGTGGCCAACCAACTAGTATTTATCAAGTGCCCCACTGTGCTAAGAGGTGGGGATACAAAGAAAAGCAAAAAAAAAAACCACCCTCAAAAACACAACAGTCCCTGTTCTCAAGGAGCTCACAGTCTTAATGGGTGAAAGGCTAATGGTTAAAGAGGCTACACTAACACCTTCCTGAAAGAGACGTCTAAGTTGGCTTGTCCTGCAGTCATCTGCCAGGGTGTGATTTCAGGCTCTCCCTGTCATCTGAATGGTGAGAGAAGGTCAATCTCCAGGCAGAGATGGGGGAGGGGGATTCCTGAACCCCTTCTCTGACCTGTGAAAAGTGTGCAATAAGCTGGTGGCCAAGTGGCAACAATCCAAGTATCCAAGGTGC